AAAAAAAAAAAAAAAAAAAAAAAAAAAAAAAAAAAAAAAAAAAAAAAAAAAAAAAAAAAAAAACACACGAGACTTTAATGTTAATAAATTAATATTATATGTTTATTATTATATTCATGAAAAAGAAGAAATTTTAAATTTTAAATATCAAAACGTTTCCTTAATTGACGTCGGATGACGTGACATTGTTAAATAATTCCATCCACTTGATTGGATGATTGGAAAAAAAAGGTTGATGTTAAAAGTTAACTCTCACCATTTTGTAGGGATGTACATTTAACTCGGTAACAACCGGACAACCCGAACCCACCAAATCCGAATTATAAGGGTTGAGTTGGGTTATTTTTTTTAAATCCGAAATGATTCGGTTTGGTTTCGATTTTATAGGACAAAAGTTCGAGTTGGACTCGAATAAACTTAGAAATATGTTATAAGAAATAAAGCGTATTCACAAGTTTGACTTGGACTCTTATGGATTTCATTTTTTCTTTTGTATTTTGTTTATTACGTTATTTTTTTATTTAATTTCTTTTGTATATTTTAAATTTTTCATAAAAAAAAAATCTCAATATATCATACTATTTTTTAACACAATATATCATACTCGTTATGATAGGTTATTGAATATGATTTATCTCTACGTTTACTTTATTTTAAATAGATGTTCAATGTTCATAGACTATACATGCATTTGAGTAATTTTAGAGCATATTGTTTTCATTTTACGTATTCTTAAATGAATTTTTTTGAAACTCGGAATTTCTATATTTGTGTTGATTGGAAAACGACTTTAAAATTCATTTTACTTCTCATCTATCATTTATTTTATTGGACTCCGTTGAAAGTAAATGAATTTAAATATATAATTTTATCAAAAGTGGTTCAAATGATTTTTTTTTTAAACTCCTAATTTCTATATTTGTATTGATTGAAAAACGACCTTAAAATTTATTTTACTTTCCATTTATCATTTTTCTCATTCACGTGGTGGAAAGTAAATGAATTTAAATATATAATTTTATTAAAAGATGTTCAAAATATTTTTATCATTCTAGTGTTTACGCTAGTTTCTGGTGAGAGAATTTTTTTTTATTGTTTTACGGGTTCCTTAACCCTTAAAATTGTTATACGAAATTTTTGGATAAAAAATGAGTTTCAATAAATTTAAAAATTTTGTTATAAAATTGAAATAGGTAATTATAAATTCTATGTATTTATTATTCTAGGTTTTAATGTACTCAAAATATTTTTTATTTTTATGATCTATTATTTCCTTATATTTTCTTTATTAATCAATTCTCAAGAAGGGTCCGTATTTAGTTATATTTAGTTCTATAGTAATGTTGAATTATGTTAAGATTTTACCATTTTCCGTTGTTATTGTTGATGATTTTTTTTTAATGATTATAGATTGATGTGTGTTTGTTTGTGATTTTTAATATTTTTTATCTAAAATTCTATCCAATAAGGATGAAGTGTGGATAAATAAAATTCTTTAATTTTTTAAAAAAGTTGACAACTCAACCCGAACCCAACTTGAAAATAGAGGGTTGTGTTGGGTTACTAATTCAAAACTTTTGTGTTGCGTAAAAAGTATTCCCAAATCCAACCGGGACCATGTACACCCCTACCATTTTTAATGCAAATTCAACACAAACCTATTCTTAATAATATAATTTATGGTAAAAATTGGATTTTTTTTTAAAAAAAATATATATAATTAATTTACAAATTGACATTTTTTTTGGTCGAGTCAAATCAACCAATCAAAAAGTAAGGTTGGTCCAACCTTACTTTTATATTATTATGACATTAAAAATATTTGACATTTATAATATGAGTTATGCCTCTTACAAATTTAATATTTAAGATTTATGAAATTTTAGTTATTAATGTAAAATTAACCACATATAGTTGAGTTTTATTAAATAATTAAAAAAAACCGACAACACAACTAAAAAAATAAAGGGTTTACTATATTTTAGACCACTGTCATTGACTCAACCATCCTACAAATTTTCAATTTGAGCATAAACTCGAGTGATTTTGCTTTGTGCTTTAATGTACATGTATTCCTACCCATAATCTTACACTTATAAGATCCGGTAACTTTACTTTGATCCATGTGTTGAACATTCGTACAAGATCTAGTGAGATATTTGTTCGTTATCTTCCTAGTAAATTTCAAGCACAACCAAACAAAGAAAAATATTTCGAGCTAAAAGTCAGCCATTATATTTCCCTACGCGTATAGAAATTCGACGATAAATTGAAGGCCACCACTAAACTTCATGGAAACCGCTGTGTGAAACGAAATTAATTATTGTTCCAAAATTAAAAAATAATAATAATAATAAATAAATAAATAAAGGAAACTGCCCCAATTGACTTGTGTGTGAAGTCAATCAGCAAAGCTTCCAAGAATTTGTTCCATCAATTTCTTATAAATCCCACCCTCATTATCCTCCTCCACTCATTCAATCGCTTTGCAATGGATCAGAATCTCTTGCAGGCAATTTCCATGACAGAAAACGAAGCAATTAACCCGCAACACGTCGAGGATGCCGATACGGTGAACGACGCGGTCGAGTCGCCATTTCATGAAGCTTGTCGCCAAGGACATGTCAAAGTAGTAGAGGCGCTTCTTAAGGCCAATCCCAATGTTGCTTCAAAACGAAACGCCGACGAACTCACTGGCTTTTCACTTGCTTGTTCCCACGGCCATCTCGATGTCGTGACCCTTTTGTTAGCTGAAAATGGAGCCTCGAGCTACGAGGAAGATGTCGGCGAACAGAGTTGTATTCATGTAGCGGCGTCGAATGGGCACACGGATGTGGTGAGAGAGCTGGTTAATGCGAGCTCAAAATTGGCACACTTGGTGGACTCGAATGGGAACTTGGCGTTGCATATAGCTTGCAGCAAAGGGTTGAGAGAAATGGCATGGACGTTGCTGCAACGCGATGCGAATATGGGTATGCAGTACAACAACAATGGGTACACGCCGTTGCATTTGGCTGTCATGAATGGCAGAGTTGTAATTCTTGAGGAATTTCTGTCGTTGGCTTCTTCATCCTTTTACCAATCCACAAAAGAGGGAGAAACCATCTTCCATCTCGCCGTTCGTTATGGTCGGATGGATGCGTTGGTTTACTTGTTCCATGTCTGTAATGGATTGAACCTATTGAACTGTCGAGATCGTTACAGTAACACTGTTCTTCATGTTGCTGTTGATGCTCAACGTTATCAGGTAAATTCAATTGAAAAAACCCATTTAAATTATGAAATGAAATCAAACAATTATTTATGAAATCCCCTGCAGATAGCAGAGTTTTTGATCAGAAAAACAGGGGTGGAGATAAATTTCCGTAATTACAAAGGACAAACCGCCCTTGATATACTTGATCAAATCGGAGACACGCCGGAGAATCGCCGACTGGAAAGTTTACTGATTAAATTCGGTGGCCGGAGATACTCCGAAGTGTTATCCCCTTCACAATACACCGACATGTCTACCATTTATCAGACCAACGCCGCCGCTTCCTCCTCCAGCCCCTCCTTGTGGAGCCACGTGGATGGAAGAAGCCAAGAACTAATCGTCCCCACCATGATTCCGTCGGACTCAAAATTTGCCGGTCAGTTTTCGACTAAATCGGAGGCGGAAAAAATACCATCCCCTGTTTTAACCGACCACGACCATAAAATTAACTCCCATGTGAAACGACACCGTGTCAAAATGTACACGGAGGCACTCCAAAACGCGAGAAACACGATTGTTTTGGTGGCGATTTTAATCGCGACGGTGACATTCACCGCCGGGATAAACCCGCCCGGCGGAGTGTACCAACAACAAGACGAGAAAAACAAAAGGAAAGTAGGGCAATCGACGGTGAGCGACACGTTAGCTTTCAGAATCTTCATGGTGTGTAATGACGTGGCATTGTTCACGTCGTTGGGGTTGGTGATCGTTGTGATCAGCGTGGTTCCGTTTCGACGGAAGCCACAGATTGTGATGGTGATGGTAGCGCAGAAGGTGATGTGGGTGGCGGTGGCGTTCATGGCGACGGGGTACGTGGCGGCGATTTGGGTGGTGGTACCACGCGATGAGGGTGTTGGGAATTGGGTGTCGGTGGTTACGGCGGTGAGTGGGGGTATTTTGGGAGTAGTATTTATTGGATTGACTGTGATGTTGATCGAGCACCATGTGCATAAATCGAAGAAACGAAGAAGAAGAAATGGAAGACAAGAAAATTCAGCTAAGACGGAAAGTCAGAATTCGGATATTGAGAATTGTTATGAAAGAGGATATCGCTCTTTCTAAACTGTAAAATAATCAAAATCTCAACCTTATGGTAGATAATTATATATAATAATTTCACCTCTATACATTGTATATGCCTCTCTCGTGCATCTTCTCTCTTATTCTTTGTGTTCATCTAGATTGAGTACGTAAGTTGTTGTGTGATCCCCAATTGGAACTCGGAACTTACATTAAAAGATCCCTAATTGGAACTCGGAATTAGAAACAATTTCTAAAGAGATTGAATTATATCAGATGAACGTTATTCTTCAAAAGAAAGAAGAGAGACCAAACATGCGAGAGAAGTTGTGTTATATAAAATCAAGACATCTCAATCATATAATATGAAGTTCAAAGAAGTTGTGAAAAATGTTTAAATTACCACGAGATAGAATGGATTGACCAAAACTTTAGAAATAAAATGAAATTAGACCAAGAGATGTTCCACAAGAAGAGAGGCTTCAATTAGAAGACACACAGTTGGTTCCCCTCGTTCAAAAAAATTGTTGCTACACTTAAATTCTATCAATTAACTTAATTTTAAAGCTAGTATTGTAAATCTCATCGATATTAACACTTCACTTTTATTTATTTTAGTGACAATGGTAAATAAAAGAATCAAATCAAAATGATAATAGATGTCTTATTTACTAAATTCAGACACACCGATTTCTTAATCTCACATCATGCTAGCCTTTAAGCATGTTTTGAATCACTTTTCAATCATGTTTTTAAGCGTTTGAAGGGTTTAAGGTAAGTTTTCTGGTCTCTGTGCTGCATAACTCTCCCTTCGTCGTGAAAGGGATGGAGGAGGACTGGAGGAGGACTCGAATGATATATGTGCATTCCGAGATCTAAAAATTCAAATAGTTTACGAAAAAAGAGAGTTCCAAACAACCTCATTCTTTAAAACACTCGAGATCAAAGTTAATACACCATAAAACCACTAATAGCTATCTAAATGAACAATCTGAGCTAAAAAAGCAGTGGGATGCTACCATGTATACACACCGTACAAGTTTCATTTGATTTAAGGACACTATGAAACCAGAAGGGACAGAAAGAAACACCATATTCTTTACATTAAGTTTTCCCATAGGCAGAAGGTTCATTTCTCATGAGGGTTCAGTTTTTGGAGAGCCAAATAACATATTGGATAGCAGAAGTGGTGAGCAAGCAGCAGGTAAAGAATGTGAAGGCAATAGATATGGCAACGTGGTTACAAAAGCGTTGTAATGGCTTACAAAAGTTAGGCAGAGTTGTGTGCCGAATGCCAGTGCGGTTCAGATTTGAGATCCCAGCTGCAGCTGATCCAGCACTCATCAGTGCATATGCCAAGGCCTACGACCCACACAACAAATTCTTGAAAAAACAGTCCTAATAGGACACTCCCTTTCATGAATCGCATAAAACAACCGTCTAGTCTAGTCTCAAGAACATTTCTTCCAGAAATTATAATCAATATGCTACTATTTCCCTTACCAGATCAACAGCGAAAATAAGCCAGGCTTGACGTCTGGAGCCAAGCACTGGGGACTTCCTGACAAGCTTGGAAGTAGTAACAAGAAGCTGCAGCAAAGAGTAGGCAGCGACAGCCCCTGAAACTCCAACAAGATACCTACACTCACAAAAAACTCACGGGGTTCAACGAATTTCAACTCATTAGAACAAAAACCCCACAATCCAATTTCTGTTGTATTCAACACGTAATTCATTTTTATAATAACACAAGTCTATGCAAATGCAACAAACTCTTTGTTTTATTATCCATTAAAAAATAATCAACACGGTGATCTGTGGCACCATTGAAGCAATAAGAATAATAAAGAAAGACGAAGAAATTATGCGGAAGGCAGTTGGTTAGAATTTTGTATAGATAGTCATAAACCGGTCCAGAAGAAGACAAACATGAAATAGGGAATATTTTGAGGAAAGAAGAAATTGGGTTCACGGGTTCAATTCTGTTCATTACATTTAGACGAAGCCATAAAACTTGGATGAGGAGGATTTTCCAGATTCCATTTTCTCCATTCGAAGAAAGGCAGGTTTGTCAGCATCCAAACAGTGGAAAAACGACTGAATCAACCGTAAGATTTAATGTGGCCTTTACCAAAGTAGGCAAACCAGTAATAATGAAATCAAAAGTGTTCGGGAACGAAAAGAAAAAATAGATGACATTCTGTTTGGATGCGAAGAAATCTCAGTAAGAAACAAAAAGAAAATGCAGTAAAATGTTTCCCCCAAAAGCAGACAGAAAACACCGTCCAATCCTTAGCCCTCCAATTTTCTCCTCTCCTCTCCTCTCCTTGGATGAATATCTGAAGCATTCCAATAAAAGATTGAAGGAGAACAAACGATGAAGAGAGGAAAACAAGAAATTATAAGTTACAGAGGACCGCCATTCCTCCACAGAGCAGTCACGTTTCAACTGATGGATCTCACGGTTCTTCCTTGCTTACAAGCCAATCACAGATTCAAATCACAAAAACCTCTAAGGCATTAAGCACCAACAAAACAAACGACGAAACTTACTCGAATACGTCCGAGAACGACCACTTGGAATGAACGGGAAGTTCAAATCCGTAAATGGAAACCGTGCTAGACTCCGCCGCCGTAACCATCAAGGACATTGCCGTCACCGACGTAGCAACACAAATCAGCCTCAGCATCAACTGACACAAATCAGCTCTCAGGCGGTCTAAGCTTCGGTCCGACGGTTCAATCAGTCCACCAATCGTGCCGCTCTTGGACGCCATAGCCGCCACCTTCGTCATCTCCGGTAGCTGCACCGCTACCTCCGACACAGACGACATTTTCCGGTCACCAGTCATATGGTAAAGTTTCAGGCGAATCTTTCCGGTGGGATTCTCTGAGAGATCGTGAGAGAGAATTCTGCGTTGTACCAGCGTTTTTGTGGAGAAAGTTTATAAGAGAGTTTATTTAAATCATTCTGCCGCTCGGTATTTTGATTCCCTCCAATTTTTACCGCGGTAAAATAAATTTTAAAACACATTGAATAATTTTTTACCAACTGTAAATAGTAAATATGGAAGAGAGACTTAGGGGTGTCTAATTACTTCTTTGTTAAAAAAACCTACTTGCTACTTGTATTCTATGTGTCCGAGCTTAACCCACAGATGTATTAGAAATGATACCTTGGGAGGGATGTAAAGCTAAGCAAATAGCTTCGGCTCCAAGAACAAAAGACTGTGTTGGCTGTAAGAGATACAAATTTGGCTGTCCGACGGATTTCTTGAGTTTTTGGATTTATTTATGGCATGAAACAACTTGAAGCATGAGTCTAGCTTATTGATGCGTTCTCGAAAAGCTCCCTTGAATTCATTTGATTTCTTTTTTACTATTTCCTCAAAGAAAGATTTGGTCTTATCAAACAAATTGAGTTGTCAATACAGTGTCAGACCAAGTCCTTTTTTTTTTATCAAATTTTTTCTTCATTCAATAGTAAAATAAGTCAATTTCTTTAGTCGCTAATTTAGAAGGTTTAGGATTTAGGGTTTGGTCACGGTTTCAGAAACAATTTATTTCGCAACCTCGAATAATTAAGTAGTTGTTAGGGTTTAAATGGAATTATTACTACCGTTCATGCCTAACTCTCTTAAAGAGGAGATTCAAGGCTTAGATTTGAAAGCTGTGATACCACATGTTGTATGTAGTAATGCCGCAACCAAAAAATGTTTTGATACTCAATTATTGTAGTGAGAGCGAAATAAAGATTAAGTACACTCGACAGGTGATAATCAATCACTATAAACAAATTGTTTAGAAGTGTATCTCTCACACTCTCACACTCCAAAGTCTCTCAACAAAGTTTCTCCCAATTACTTCGGGTCAAATACAAAATGACCATAACTACACAGACTCTACATGCGATGGGTGATTATATATATATATAAATAGTTGTTTTAATATTAAATATTAATTGAATTAAGAATATATAAATATTTATTTTAATATTAAATATTAGTTGAATTAAGGGCACACCCAATAATCTGTACACTTTGGAAATGGTCTTTTTAGTTTTCAAAAAAAGTCTCACCCGAATGGAAGACACTTTCTCTTACTATGTACTCATGATCTTTCCCTTAATGAACCGATATGGAACTAAAAAAATCTTCAACAATTATCCCTCGAACAAAGTGCACTATTGAACTTCCTTACACGATGCCAAAGGATTCTACTGACATGGCTAATTTAAGAAGAGAGTATGGTTCTGATACCATGTTAGATCAACAATCTCCATACTAACACAATATTGTTCACTCTGATTATAAGCTCTCATAGTTTTGTTTTTTTGTTTCTTTTAAATGTCACATTACAACAGAGATTAATGTCTCTTCCTTATATACTCATGTTCTTCCCATTAATTAGTCAATATACGACTCCAACATCTTTCAACCAACATCTTTCAACAGCTTAATGGTTGAGTTAGTTATCACTTCCATACTTGCTTCAATCAATACAAGACAGGCTTCACTGGGTTCCAGATTCTGAAGAACATCAGCAAACAAGAACAATCAAAACCCAAGGTGACCTTCGTGAATGGGTTTTAGGCTCACCCTGGCTCGATGTCGTGGGCCTTGGTTCAAATTTTAGGTATGAAGTAGGCCCAACTTTTTATGCGGCCCAAGCCCAAAAAGCCCAATAAGAAATCAACCGAATAACCACGAAAATATTAAATACGATTAAAAATAATAATTATAGTTTAATTGCCAATTGGAGCCTAGAAATAGGGATTAGCTTAACCATGTGCCAACTAAAATATTACTTATTTTGCCGAGTTACATTAAAAAAATATGAATTATTTAACACAATTAACTATATTAATATTAAATAATTTTGAATTTATCTTGGATTATTTGTATGGTTAATATTGAATAATATCGTTGTAAATTAAATTAAATGATTATTTTTCATGTTTTTTTTCCTTATTTCCTCGCATAAAGAAGGCATTAGCCTAAATACCAAGTCATTATTTCGAGTATTTGTATATCACTCCATTGAAACAAAAATAAGAAATTAAAATAATAGCATAAATCCCTTTGCTTTGGCTTTAAACAAAATATAGTCGGTTGAATTGTGAGGGGAAAATAAATATTTAATCTTTTTTTTAAATTAAATACGTCAACTTGACTTAGAATTATGTTTAGATTCACACATAAACTAATAATAAAAAATAATAAATAATTCTTAATATTTACCTAACAAAATATTTTATGCTTTAAACTCTGACCCATATGAATTTAAATACGCTATTTAGTTTAATAATATTAGTTCTAAACTTTTAAATTTGAGACGAATAGATCCTTAAACTCTATTTCAATTTTTTGTTCAATAATTTTTCGATTTGCTAGTGTCTTTCAATCTCGTGTCAATATTTTTACAAGTTCATGAATCAATTTTACGTCGAGAAAACTGACAAATTCGTGAATATGAAATTTAATTATTAAAAAATGGAAATTTAAAAAAAAAAAAAAAAAAAAAAACATCAAAGAACCAATCAAAATGATTTGATATTGACCCAAATGAAAGAGAAAATTAAAAGTTTAATAATTCAATTCACATAGAGTAATAATGGAAGTTCATATGAATGTGGGAATTAATTGGTAGCCACTAATATATTGTACTATGCTATCCATATGAATAGCATAAATGCATAAGTGAAATCACAAAAATGCCCTTCAATTCTCCAATTTCATGAGAGAGAGATGAAGAACAACAACTAACCCATTTTCTTCAACCAAAATAACAAGCAAAGCTTCCTAAATATTATGCATAAATATTATTCAAAATCACTATTTAAATTTGAATACTTTTATTTATAATTTCTTAAATATGAAACTGGAGGTGTTAAAAAAAACTCGATTATCACAAAAATTCAATCATTCTAATCCAATTTGGACGGTTTTGGTTGAGTTATGAATCTATTTGAGTTAGGTTGAGTCTAAACAAATAAAAAATTTATGGATTATATTGGTTCATCATTCTCTAAAACTAGACTGGGTTTAACCTCTTCACCATTATTACATGGGATACAATATTTATTTATTTTTCATTTTTAACCACTTGAAAGTTAATTTTTCAAAGTATATATTCGAATGGAGTAATAAATCTTAATTAAATGTTTGAAAATAAAAAAATAGATAGCTTACGAACTAATATTTTATTTTTATTAAAAACACAAATTTAAACAAATAATTCAAGAACCAACTAAACTCAAAAAGTTTACTGTTTTGTATCAAAAAATAAGTCAACTCAACCGAACCAACAACACTCCTCCCAAAAAGTCAAAATTGCAACCAAAGATGAAAAACATTTATGAAATACAAAAATTAGCATAAAAATCAGAAAATGGATGTTTAAAAATATATATATATATATATATATATATATATATATATAGTATTTATTGATTTAATTTTATAAAAAATGAAGGACTTGAGAGCAAATAATTGTAAAATAATGGGGTGAAGGAGAAACAAGTTTCCTACAACAGCAGCTAGCCAGCTTGCAGTTGTTGTACGTTCCGTTTGTGCACCGATCGAGGATTTGACATTTTTGAATGCCCATTTTATACTTTCTAATATTTATAGTCATAACCTAGGAAAAGATAATATTTTAAATTTGACCCCACTTTCTTTATCAAATACCCTAATGGACCCTAGGACCATGGTTTAGTTAGGCGGTTATAGCCCGTTACATAATTCATCCTTTAATTTTAATTTTCATACCTAATTTCCTCTTCTTTTAATTATTTAAAATTTTCTCCCTTTATGATCTGTACATATTTTCGTACAAACCAATTGTTTGTTTTATATTCTCAATCATATGATTTAACAAATTTCTCTGTAGTTGACGCGTTTTAGAAACTTCTCTATAGTAGACGTGTTTTAAAACTTTGAGAGGAACCCAAAGAGAACAATATCTCCTCAGGTGGGCTTGGCTTGGATCGTTACAAATGGTATCAGAGTCAGAGCCTCAAAGGGAGATGGATTGTGAGATCTCACGTCAGTTGGAGAGAAGAACGAATCATTGTTTATAAGGGTGTGGAAACTTCTCCTAGCAAACGAGTTTCGACACTGAAATCGAAATAATGATATAGAATTGTGTATATCAACTCGAGAGGGTTCTTGTTTTTGAAGTTGAACATGAATCATGACCTTCGTGAGTCAACGAGGCTCGTGTTAGGATCGACACGTGTATATGTAATTGAAGTCGTGGCAAGTTGACGATATAGACGTAAAGTAAAGTAAAGTAGAGGAAAACGAATACGTGAAAGAAAACAAAGATTGTTATATAGGGTTTTGGTCCATTGAATTGAGCAAGGGGTTTGAGAAGAGGATTGGGGGGCATGTGGATGGTACGTAGAGGATACGAAGTAATAAAAAGTGGTACGAAATCCCAATGGATATGGGACTCTGAAACCCATGCTTAGTGGGTGCCTTGGTATTTGTCTTAAACAACCCCCCCATGTGCCTTTGCGACTAAACAAGGGAAAGATTTCAAATCCCACCAATTTTTTTTCTTCCCTTTTTTTCTTCACCCAACAAATAATTTTAAAAAGAAAAATAAAAAAAAGGTAATGAGTTCTTCATGTGCAAACATTGGTTTTTGTTTATTTTTTATGGCCCATTTTTATTTTATATTTTTCCTTCCATTTTCATTCATGATTTGATTGGATGAAAATGTTTTTTTTAATTGTTTATGTTATTATTTTTAATTCTTAATAACTATTTAGGATAATTTTGTGCATTCGAGGTACGTCTTCACATATTCAGCAATGTCATCTCGACTACAAGGGAAATGACTAACTGCAGTCTCTGAACGCATCTTGTAGCAAGCCAAAACTGTGATTTGAACCTTCGTTGGCTCTTGATCTTGAGCTCACTTTTTTTGGCTCCGTGCGATATTCGAACTCTTAATAAGCAGTGGGAGAGGTCTTGAAGCATCACCGACGAGACGAACCTGAACGGAAATGTTTGGTTGATTATATTATATTGGCTTCAAATAATAATCCACGTATTCCATTTATATTATCTTTATTTTACGTTTATTTTTATTTTTTGTCTGGAATTCTACATTAAAATTTTTAATTTAAAAATGGTGATAAAATAGAATTGCCAGCTCATCTGTCTTCTTATATGATATGACCAAAATGGACCCGAAAAGGAAAGGAGGAAAAAAAAAGTAATTGCGAAAATATGAAGTCCATGCTAAGATTCCTACGCTACGATCCACTACATCGTATGCCTAACAGTGGGCCCCATGTGATGAGCAATCAAGTATTCATCACAACCGTTCGTTACTCCGAAAATTGAACTCTGATTTATGAACTGTTGCTGTTGCGCCATTTGAACCTCCTTCTGCCTTCTCAACTCCATAACTTTCCGGTGAGAATTCGAGTGTTTCGCCGATATGAATGTCGGACTCGCTGCTGGACGATACTCCGGCACTAACCGGCCGGACTTGTACCGGACGCCGCAAGCGTTGCAGAGCGTTTTAGGTCCCATTGGTCCCGTTCGCCATTGAGGAGTCTTCTCCGCCTGACAATGCAGGCATTTCCGTCCGGTGGATTCGCCGTTCAACGCATCTTTCTTCTTCGACGACGATGATGATTTTGGCGGTTTATGATCTGCCGGAGTGAGGAGGTGGAGAAGGCGTGTGGTCCAGTCGCAAGGAGCGGTTCGCGATCGCTTACTTCGTGCTTTGCAAGGGAGCGGCGTTTCGGCGGGGAAACGCGGCGAGCTCTTCGAGGAATCAGAGGGAATTGATACGGAAGGCGGTAATTCCGAGGAGGATGAAGTTTCTGGAGTTTGAGGCTTCGAAATTGAATGACTATTGAAGAGGTAATTAAGCGCCTGAAGATCTTTCCCTTCCGTTGAAAATGAATCATCGACGAAGTTCGAGAGCCATTCGAGTTCCGCTAATTCTTCGTACTGTAAACAACGAATCAATAAATTGAGTCAGAATCCAACCAACCTAACTTCAAACTGTTTCAATTTTCGCATAAAATTACTGAAATATGTTCGTAATTGTACAGAATTGAAGTTCAATCGAATGCGCAACATTATGAACCCTACCGGAACGCAAAGGTCATCAGAGAATCGAGACTCATCGAAGCTTCGAGAGCCGATATTTCCATTGAAATGATGATCACTGCCAGAAACAGAGGAATTACAGCTATCGACAGCAGTAACAGTGGAGGAATCCGTCGAAGTTCCCGCCACGTTATCGAAGCAACCGTCAGTCATTATCGCATCTTCATTAGAAAAGTCAAGTAGATCATCAATGGTGAAATGATCCGCAGCCTTAGTCTTCTCCGGCGAAAATTGTCCCACACCGGCGTCAAAATATCCTCCAATCAGGTACTTGTTCACCTCCATAACCACAGCAAAATCACACACCAAAACCAAAACCAAAACCAAAACTCTCTGTTACACAAACACACACACAAACGCAAACAAAAAGCTCGTCCGTCGAGAGTGAAAAAAATTACAGAAGAATGAATGAAGAGAGAGAAACGAAAATGTGTCCGATGGAGAATGGCGATGATGGAAGAAGGGGGGGATTTTGAGGACAACAACCAAGGGCAAAAACGGAACACCACAATTTTATTTTATTTTTTAAAAAAAGAATGAGCATCTCTCTGCATGCAGAGAGAGATGAATATAATAATGAGGAAGTGACTTGCAAGTTCTGTAAAGTTGTTTCCAATTAAACTCTCCTTTTTATTTTTCCCCTTCCAAAATATACCATTTTAATTTTTCACTTTGACCATAACACCCTTCATTCCACTTCAAATTTAACCTCTCTGCCACCACTAACTGCAACTCCAATTTCCTCCCAAAATTAACCTCCAATTTTCTTTTTAATTAAAAAAAAAAGAAGAAAGAAATCAGCCTCTAAAGAATCAACTCTGCAGGTTTTGTCGCAGTGATTCCTCCAATAACGTCCAAATTTACAGTCGGATTCTTCTGTGGTTTGGTAAATATATTTTTTTACCCATCGGGAACTGTGCTTTGTCAATTTCTTATTTATTTATTTATTTATATATATATAAATATTTAAAATTATAATAATATTAAATTTCTACTCCCTGTTTCCCCATCATAGCCCTTTATTATATTCTTCTTCCCACGTTTAAGCACGAGCTTACAGCTCAACTTCCTCAACACATTACCTCTATGCTCTTTTAATCTCTTTACTCCTACAAAAATTCACTTATAATTTCTCTTTTTTTTTTTATTATTATTTAAAATATTTAGTAATAATTATTTGCAAATTATTCTCAATTATATGAATTGGGTTTTGTGTAATATTCAAACATTTTTTTTTTCAGGAAAAAAGGGGTTGGGTGTGAAAATATTATTGTGGAGGGAATTTGAGGCAATGGACACCGATCCCAAAAAATGGATAAGGTTGTTTACTTATTTTCCCTGCGATAAAATATGTATTAAATTGTTTTCCTTAATCATTGCACTGTTAAAAAAAATATATGTACTTTTTTTTTAAATTGTACTTTCATTGCAATAAATATTTTAAACCTGAATTGTTTGAGATAATGCATCTAATTTAACATTTTAATGGTTTAAGCTTAATTTTTACAATTTTGAATCCTTTAATGATTGAATTATTGTTCATTGGATAAGAGATAAGTTACCTTTTCAAATGTTGTTGAGTCGGTCTTACTGCTTAAATCGTTAATTTTTTTTAAAATAAAACTATAGTACAAGTATCAAAATTATTTGATTCTTTATTCTTTTTAAATTAAGCCTATAAATAATATTATTTTATTATCAACCGCATTAAAAAAAAACAAAACCAATTTTTTGAAAACTAAAAATAATAGTTTTAAAATTTTGCTAAAAAATCAAGTATTTTCTTAATATAGATAGAATCTATTGCAAATAAATGATAAAAATAAACACAATTTTTTTAAAAATCTAATTTGATAATTATTTGATTTCTTAACATTAAAGTTAGTTTTATACTTTTTAATAAAAAATTTCATACTTATTTCAAATATACATATTTAAAAAACAAAAAAAAAAAAAATCTAAAACATGAACATGCAATTATTATAAAACGAGACCCTAAATATCAAATTGTTAAATAGGCCAAAACTTTATCATTATTATTTTTTAAAAACCAAAGATATTTGAATATAAGCTCCTTTTTTCTCTTTTTTTTTTTTTTTTTTTATTTTTTTATTTTTATATTTCTTTTGCTTTGTAAGCTTTAGTGTATTTTTCTTTGGAATTAATATAAAGAAAGGATGGGGCCCAGAGAGCACGTGACAAAGTTTGTGGCGGTGTCAGGGAGCATGTGAGAGGGTTCTCAAGGTTTTTGGTTCGTAAAAGCCAGCCCATTGGTCCCTAATCCTGGTCAATTTCCACGTGGCCGGAATCTACTGCCCGCAATGACCGTCTTTTTCCTTCATGTTTCCTCGCACGTGCTTTGTCGTTAACGTGTGCAAATAGTGACCACTCTCGCACGTGCACTCCCCCCCCCCCCCCCC